GAACTACTGGCAGGTTACTTTTGAGCACAAACCTTGCCTTATGTGGCATTTGTATTGTCATGCAGCAAATAGAGATGCTATGCATTTAGAACTGGCATGCAGAAACTAAGAAAAAGTATCTTACTGTATTTTGAACTTCGCTTTCTATTCAGGCTGGCCAGGGGGTCAGGGGTGAGCAGCTTAAGTTTTGCCCCAGTGGGAGGACCGCAGCTGACTTAACTTTAGTCTGAAAGTGTGGGCCCCTCTTAAGAACATTTCATCTGTGTCACATCAAGGCAGGTGTGGTTTCTGCACCCACAGTCCATTCCCACGTGCAAAACTGGAGCGTTCAAATGCTTAAGCCTGTGCCAGTAACTAGACTCCTTCCTCCTGTCTTTTTTTCTCTCCCTTCTAGATGCTATGCCCGCCTGCACCCCCGTGCTGTGAATTGTCGTAAGAAGAAATGTGGCCACACCAACAACCTGCGCCCAAAGAAGAAGGTCAAGTAAAGAGCATGGCGGGAGCTGCCCCCATCCCTTCTCCTAGTACCTGGCTGTGGTGGTCCTGCAGCAACGCGATTCATCTTCCTTCCTCCCACAAGAGGCTGTTTTTTCCCCGCCAATTGGAATAAAACATTCAGCGCGCCAAATTTGTGTCTCCCTCTTCGTTTTATGCCTGAATTGCAGTTGTATGTTATCGAGCAAGGCTTCCAAATTGTAAAATGGATACAGAGTCCTTTGCCTATGGCAGGGGTAGGCAACCTTGGCTCTTTTATGACTCGTGGACTTCAACTGCCAGAATTCTTGAGCCAGAATGGCTCAGCTTGGAAACCTCTCCCTGTCCCCTCAGCATGGCTGGCTCAGGAATTCTGGGAGTTGAAGTCCACGAGTCATAAAAGAGCCAAGGTTGCCTACCCCTGGCCTATGGCTAGTTACTTAGCAACTGTTTAAGTTACGATAGACCTCCCCAGAGCTACTTGTGATTCAGATTCAATCTCCCTTTCCTTCCCCCCCCCCCTCGTCACATGATCACATTTTGGGCATTTGGCAACTAGCCCTCATGGTTATTTGCAGTATTTGGTCACATGACTGCAATTTGCTACATTAGTTCCAATTCCCCCCACCCCCAAAAAAACCCGCCTATTGCAGACAATAGATTTGCCTAACAACCACATTTGCTTTACAATTGCTGCATTTGCTTAACTGCCACAAAAAAAGGTTGCAGAATCAAGCATGGTCCACAGGGTGACCTGCTTAACAACTGGCACAACATATAGCCGTAATTCCAGATTCAATTACAGTCACAAGTCGACTCCCTGTACAGTTTTTGGTTGCATGTAATTCTTTTAGAAACTTTTCCAGGTGCGCGAACTAGACTGATTTTGGTAATGGAAGTGATCTGTAATGAATCGGAATGCATTTTGGGGGTGGGGAAGTGGTAAAATGGTGCTTTACATTCCAGTTCTTTCAGGTAGCATAGCCCAAGGCTCCATAGAGCTGGAAGGGACCTTGGAGGTCTTCTAGTCCAGCCCCCGCTACATGCAGAAGACCCTATAACAGGGGCAGGCAACCTCGGCTCTTTTATGACTCGTGGACTTCAACTCCCAGAATTCCTGAGCCAGCCACGCTGAGGGGAAAGGGAGAGATTTCGAAGCTGAGCCATGCTGGCTCAGGAATTCTGGGAATTGAAGTCCACATGTCATAAAAGAGCCAAGGTTGCCAACCCCTGCCCTAAACCATTCCAGACAAATTGTCCAATCTTTTCTTGATAACCTCCAGTGATGGAGCACCCACAACTCCGGAAGGAAAGCTGTTCCATTTATTAATCATTTTTACTGTCAGGAAATTCCTTTGTATTTCCAGGTTGACTATTCTGACAAGTTTCCATTCGTTGCGTCCTGTCCAGCCCTTGGGTGCTATGGACAATAAATCGATGCCCTGTTGCTTGTGGAGCCTGTCAAGTATCGAAGATGGCTATTGTGTCTCCCCTAAGCCTTCTCTTCCACTAGGTTAGACTTACCAAATGCCCTTAGCCGCTCATACAATTTAACCTCCAGGCTCCTTATTTTTGGCTCCCATTATCCTACAGGATTGCAATAATATATTAGTACTATAGTCAGTGGTTTAAGCACCAGGCTAGAAAGCTGTAGGCTGCGTTCAAGACCGGCTTTAGCCATGAAAGCCAGCTGAGTCGCTTTGGGCCAATCATTCTCAGCCAAATCCAACTCAGGGTGGTTGTGGGGAAAATAAGAGGTGGAAGTTGTATTGGATATGTTTGCCACCTTGAGTTATTTATAAAAATAATAAAAGCGGGACTTGGGGCCAGTCAGTTTACTTGGAAGCAGTGTTCCCTCAACCTTGCTTCAAGAACTGGCTGCTTTTTTAAGGCAATAAAAGCTTTGTAAAAAGCTATCCACCTAGATCAGTGGTTCTCAACCTTTTTAATGCTGCGACCCCCAACCGGTCATAAGCTGAGGACTACTCAACCGGTTGTAAGTCGAGGACTACTCAACTGGTGCAGCACCGTTTGCAGAATGGGACTTTTGGCGGGCTCAGCAGGGCAGAGACAGCCTGGACAATTCTTATTGGCTTTTGAAAGCCAATAGAATTAGACTCTATTCAAGAGAGTCTATTCTATTGGCTTTCAAAAGCCAATAGAATAAAAGGAAGTAGCACAGCTAAGGAAAAGGGGGGAAAAATGGCGGACTGCGTTGTTTGGTGACCCCTGTGAAATGGTCGTTCGACCCCAAATGGGGTCCCGACCCACAGGTTGAGAACCACTGACCTAGATTTATAACAGTAGTTGGACAGCATGTACATACCGTGCTAAATGATAAGACATGAAAACTGGCTAGATAACTTTGGGCCCGTCTTCTCTCTTCACGCACTCATGACATTACCTAGTTGGGTAACGAAACGTCTGCAAGAAAACCACCAGAGAGCACTAAGAACCCCATAGGAAACTGATACTCAAGCAGAGAGTCGGGGGGGCAAGATAAGGAATGTGGGGTGCCTCACTAGGTTTGGGGGAGACCCTGGAAGGCCTGGTGCAGGTCGCAGGCGGCTGTTTTTCACTCAAAAGGCTGAAAATCCTTAGATTTTGGCAAGGTTTTTAATTTCTGAAGGTTCCCCCCACACTTGAGGCATCCCACATTCTTTACCTGGGATTCCGTCTGCTTAATGACCGCAACTGGGAGTGCTGGGATAGAAGTCATAGAGCAGATTGATGGCATGAACCATCGTGACATCTTGCTAAACAGCCACTTCACTCAATGACTTGCGATTCTGGTCCCAATTATGATCATCAATGGGTGGATAAAAATGCCAAAATGTCCAAACATCTGGCTGGTTATACAAATTAATAATAATAACAACAACAACAACCTTGACTCCTAGTGAGACACTACCTTGGCATGGTTGTGGGACTTGTGTGCTCTGAGGAAGATGGGAGCTGTGTTGGAGGTTCAACCATACTGGACAGGTCTCATCAGAGGAGTCAGACACAGAGTGTCTCTCCGATAAAAAATATAGTGAGACGTAAATTTTAGAAAGCCATACTGGCTTGTATGTTGCCCAGGTTAACAAGGTCAACACTAGATGCTTGAGTTCCTGGATATCGGGTGAGAAATGGGATTCTGGTCATTAGATACACAGCTGGACTCAAGCAGAACTAAAATCAATGGATAGGAAGACCCGAAAAAATATTGACAATGAATCATGCCCTTCATCAGCGCAACGACATTGACTGACTACCTACAAAGCCAAATAGGTGGGCGTGGATTGTTCCAAATACATCAGATGGTTGAAGAAGAAAAGCAGGGCTTCAGAAGAATATCTGAAGGACAATGCAGAAGATGCACTGAAGTTAGTAGATCAGGAAGGCTTACTGACTACTGGAGAGACCAATCTGGCCTACAAGAAAAACCAAATGCAGAACAGAATGGAGGCATGGGAAGACAAAGCACTACATGGCTAGAACATTTTTTTAAAAAATAGCAGGGAAAGCAGAAAGTTGAAGAAAGAGACCAAGAGAATAATTCTGGCTGCACAAGACCAAGCCTTAAGGACAAATGCATACAAAGCCAGAATTGAGAAGACAGCAACAGACAGTAAGTGCCACCTATGCAAAGAAGCTGAAGAAACAGTGGATCACCAGGTAAACTGCTGCAAGAAGATTGCCCAGACTGACTACAAGCAGCGACATGACAAAGTAGCAACAATGGTGCATTGTAAGATCTGCAAAAAATATCATTTGCCTGTAAGCAAAAACTGGTAGGATCATAGAGAAAGTCATAGAAAATGATAAAATTAAACTGCTCTGGGACTTCAGAATTCAAACAGACAAGCACCTGCAACATAACACCCCAGACTTAACAATTGTCGATAAGAAAGACAAAAAAAGTCTGGATAGTGGACGTGGCAGTGCCTGGAGACAGCAGAATAGACGAGAAAGAACTGGAGAAGATAACAAAATACAAAGACCTACAAATAGAAATAGAAAGACTGTGGCAAAAGCAAGCAAGGATAGTACCAATAGTCATAGGCTCCTTGGGTGCAATCCCAAAACAACTGGAGCACCACTTGAACACCACTGGCATTGACAAATTCGCTATTAGTCAATTGCAAAAGGCGGCCTTACTAGGAACTGCTTCCATCCTGCGACGATATCTGTAATACCATCAAACATCCACATCTACCTTTCTCAGGTCCTGGGTAAGGACTCGATAGGTAGACAAAATGCCAAATCCAGTCTGAACATCTGGCTGACTGTGCAATGATCAATAATAATAATAATAATAATAAATGGTGAATATTAGGATGCTTTTATTCAATGGGCAGAAGAGCTAAAGTGCTAACTAGCCATATAGTTCAGGTTTGCTAGCCATCCTCAGACAAACGCCAGTTCAATGATTTGTTATGAGTCCGTCTGGCCGGCAGGGAGCAGTAAAGCACCCTGTTGCAAAGATTCGGGCTCATATGGGTTACCCGGAAGGAAGAGCAGTTATCTAAAAAGAACGTAGATTTTAAGAGCAGAAGAGCCCATCATTTGTTTGCTTAGTAGTTTTCAAGATGGTTTATTCCTACGTTCCCAGGGAAGACAGCTCTGTCCATGGACTCATTGAAGGAATTGAGGATTTAAAGCCATGACTTTGAAATAGCAGATCAGAAAATGAACGCTGGAAGCCAGCATTCTCCTTTTGAACGCCATTCTCATTTCCTGAGCAAACATTCCCTAAAAAGCCCCGTCGACTTCCACTATGTTTCACATCTGCACACAGTTGGCTGCCGTTGTGGGCGTTAAACGGTTAAACGACCAACCTCGGCAGATATTCATGAGTTCCTTAAAGAGAAAAAACAATTTGGAGAATTCAAAATAACCTCGTCAGTCTTTGGGGCTTGCAAAATTGTTAGTAGTCTCCTGCAGAGCTGGGGTAAGTTTCTCCGATTTAAAATATTTAGAGAATAACCACAACAGGGTGACGCTGCAGAGATGCGAGTTATATGGTTTCCAAACTAGAACCAGATTATGCTTCCAGCATATTGCAAAGTTAGGACAATTCTCTACTGTTCGAGCTTACCAATAGAGCGGGGAGAAGGATTGGCATAAAAATTGCAGGCATTAATATATAGAGATCCAGATTCAGCCATAGTTTCATTCCATACAGCTTTAACCTTGTGAAGCTTCCTCCTTCCCTTATATACTCAAGATGGACAGTATTTAATATTTATTTGCTATGTATATGTAGGGGTGTGGGTCTATACATATGTTGTACATAGTATGTTTTAGGGGTGTGTCATGTATGTTTCACTTTGAGAGCGGGCAACTAAATTTCATTTGATTTGATGTGTGCCGTTGTGCCCAGAGTAAAAAAAAAATGACAATAAAAGTTATCTTATCTATCTTATCTTGGCCGCCTTCAGTGCTTCCTAATCCTGTAAAATGGGGTTCGCCGGAACTGGCACCTGTCGTGCTATTTATATAAAACAGCACACGACATATTTTGAAAGACATTTACGGTGTTAGTCAGATCCTCACATTTTGGAAGAGTTGCCGAGGGGGCGGGGTGGGGGTGGATTGTTTGTAGCCAGGGTTAGGTCTACTAAAAACCTCGATCGATTGATTTGATTGCAGAATTTTCCCTTTTTTTTAAAAAAAAAATCATTTTAGGGGGTTTCCTGATTGATAAAGCAGGAAAGAGACCACAGCCATTCCATGATTCTAGCCACACTCGGCAACTTTTAAGACGTGTGGCCTTCAACTCCCAGAATTCTGCAGGATGGTCAGCCAGCTGGGGGATTCTGGGAGTTGAAGTCCACGTGTCTTAAAATGGCCAAGTTTGCCGAACACCGCTCTAATTATTTGTAGTTCTGCTTTAATCAGAGTGGTTTGATCCAACGCAATGGTGAACGAATGTGGGTTGTTGCAGCAGAGGCTCGAAGAGAGATGTGTGTGCATGTGTGTGTGTGTGATATGCAACGGAGGCCCCTTCATTAGAACCAGAAGGTTCGAATAGCTGCGTGACGGCTGCTGCAAAACAAATAAGTAAATAAAACCCAGTGCAAGAAAACAGGTGGAAGAGAAAAACAGGAAACCATGGGGAGAGCGGGAGAGGCAAGCAGCGCTCGGCTAACTCAGGAATGCCCACTAGGGGGCGCAGAAGACCTAGAAGTGAAGCCTTTGGGAAGTTGAGAAAGAAATGAGTGGAAAATATCTGCAAGGCATTTTTGACTGGTGGGGGTTCCCATCTGAAAGTGTTACACTACAACTCCCATCATCCACAGCCAACATAGTCCGCCAACACTCTGAAGCAGGGGGTCTTCAAACTTGGCCCTTTTATGACTTGTGGACTTCAATTCCCAGAATTCCTCAGCCAGACATGTTGGCTGAGGAATTCTGGGAGTTGAACTCCATAAGTGGTGGGATTCAGCTGTGCAGAACCAATAGCTAATTTTTTACTGCCCAGGCCCAGAACAGACTTCCAGAAGCGGCATCCACACAGAGAACTGGTTGTTCACATATTTGAATCCCACCACTGAGTAGTCCTCAATTTAACAACCACAACTGGGCCCAGTGAGACATTTATTAAGTGATCTTTGCCCCATTTTACGACCTTTCTTGCCACAGTTGTTAAGCGAATCACTGCAGTTGTGAAATTAGTAACATGGTTGTTAAGTGAATGGGGCTTCCCCATTGACCTTGCTTGTCAGAAGTTTGCAAAAGATGATCACGTGACCCCAGGACACTATGACCATCCTAAAAATGAACCAGTTGCCAAGCATCCAAATTTTGATCACCTGACCATGGGGCTGTTGCATGTGAACAATGCTCTTAAGTCACTGATTTCAATGCCACTGTAACTTTGGTTACTAAAGGTACAGTTGTAAGTCATGGACTAGTTTTTATGGGGCATTTTTTGAGCATAAGGAAGGATGATCTAAAAGCGGAAAGATAAAATTATTAGGGTTGGTTGCACAGACAGCCCTATGTTTCGACTGGATCGAGCATTTTATCCACCTTTCAAGACCTTCCGAAGGACCTGGGAGAAGCAGATAAATTTATCTTCCCATTTCACGAATGTGCAAATTGTAACCATGCCTGAGGGTGCCTCTGAAGGGCCTGGACACCACATGGATCCTGTCAGCTTTATTTGTGTGAAATATAAGAGGGGCGAGAACTCTATACCGAGGCTCTTATTACCAGAAAGGTCCCCCCCCAAAAAACCCCTGTATGTTGAAAGTGTCTTAGAACATACTTTCGGTGGCAAGGTGAGAACAAAGACACTATTTACCTACCTACAGAAAGAAAGTACAGGGAGTCCTCGAGTCAAGCTATTTTCCAAGGTGCCTGAAGGCAGGACAAGAAGCAACGGATGGAAACTAATCAAGGAGAGAAGCAACCTAGAACTAAGGAGAAACTTCCTGACAGTGAGAACAATTAATCAGTGGAACAGCCTGCCTCCAGAAGCGGTGAATGCTCCAACACTGGAAGTTTTTAAGAAGAGACTGGACAGCCATTTGTCTGAAATGGTTTAGGGCAGAGGTGTCAAACTGCCAGCCCACAGGCCGGATGCACCATAGCAAAATCGCGCCCATCTCATTGCCAGCAATGGCAAAAAAGTTGCAATATGTCACATGATGTTGCGAGTTTGACGCCCCTGATATAAGGTTTCCTGTCTGAGCAAGGGGTTGGACTAGATGACCTCCAAGGTCCCTTCCAACTTTGTTGTTGTTGTTGTTGTTGTTATTATTATTATTATGGAGCCTGTACATTATAGTAGTAAATCACAACAAACGTAAAATGGATCAGAACCAACGTTATGACCTTTTTGTGGCAGTCATTAAGTGAACACTGTGGTCATTAAGTAAGCCCATGGTTTGCTATGGTGCTGTTTGGACAAAAATCTAGAAGTCAATGCCAGTTTTTGGTAAAAAACCATCCTAAAACCAGCAAGTGACCGCGGACACTGCAAACAGCTGTAAATGCGGCTATGCTGCCAAGTGAGTGAAGTGAGGTCACATGATTCTGGATGGGGGGGATGTGTGTGTGTGTGTGTGTGTGTGTGTGTGTGTACACACTATTGGAACGTTGGGAGCTGGCTTGTAAGTTCCCTTTTTCCGGTCTCATGTAAAATTGAATGGTTGCTCAGCAACCAATCATAAGTCGAGGATTACCTGTAATTGTAGCTGCCCAGAGTAGCTTCAATAGTGAGATGGATGGCACACAAATGTAATAAATAAATAAATAAATCAGGATATTTCTGGAGAATGAAGGCAAGAGACGAAGCAGCTGGCCGATGTGGGGGCCCATGGCAGGAATGGGGGGGCCCTTGCAAGATTGCTGCAATTTGGCCCTCACATCGCTGTACATTCTGTTGAGGGGAAACATGCTCTCCCACTCCCCAAGTGCCAAGTTAAAAGATGCAGCTGCTGTGTACTATATATACACATGTGTGCATATGCGCAAGAGTGAGAGAGAATGAATGAGGGTGTGTATTTTGGAGAGGGAGTGTGCAAAGAGAAGCCAAAACCTCGTCAATACCACTTGCGTAGCCCAAAGCCCCCAAAAGTTAGCTCCAACTGGGAGTGCCACACTGTTGTGTTGCTAGGATTTGCAGGTAAGGGAAGGGATTGAAAGGATCGGGGGGGGGGACATTTCTTATGGACGGGGAGAAACTAGATTTTGGCAAAACAGGATCTTAGGCCAAGCAGCCAAACCAGACATGGTCTGGCCATGCATACTTCTGAGGTGGGGAGAGGAGAAAAGACTGTGGGAATGCCAACTTTAAAGGATTCCCCCCTCCCAATCAATGTCACACTCAATTGCACACCCACGTGCAAGAGCAAAGAAGCCCATTGTTAGTCCCCCTTTTCATGCAGGGTGGACACCAAAGAACCTTTTTCTAATTGCAAACTGTTGTTTTGATCAAAGCAGCTTCAGGGTTTGAAAGTACAGGCAGATCTGACAGGCTGCTTCTCATTTCCCGAAAATGGAAAAATGGAAAAAAAAAAAAAAAAAGCACGTACAAATTCTCTTGCTGAGATTCAAAGTCCGCCAATGGAAGCAAGGTGATTTATAATCCATGCTTTAACCCCTCTCCTTTATTCCCACTCTTTGGGCAGTCCAAGCTAGACTGCTTTGAGACATAGGGGCTCCATCTCCTATCTTGAATAAATCTCTTTCAGCAGCTCTTTCCTCCCGAAAAGTTGGCTATTTCCTCCTTCCTTTTCTTTTTAAGGGCCAATGAAATAGAAATTTATTTTATTTTGCTTGCCGCCCACCTCGCCTCAGGAAATGACTCCTTATCAAGTACAGGTAGTCCTCAAATTATGACCCCGGCTGAGCCCAAAATTTCTGTTGCTAAGTGAAACATTTGTCCAGTGAATGTCTGCCCCGCTTTACAAACTTTCTTTGCCACAGTTGTTAAATGAATCACTGCAGTTGTTAAATTAATAACACAATTGTTAAGTGAATCTGGCTTCCCCCTTGACTTTGCTTGACAGATGATTGCAAAAAGGGATTTCGTGGCCTGGGGACACTGCAACCATCATAAATATGGGCCAGTTGTTAAGTGTCCGAATTTTGATCACATGATCATTGGGATGCTACAGTGGTCATAAGGGTAAAAACGGTCATAAGTCACTTTTTTCAGTGCCGTTGTAACTTTGAACAGTCAGTAAATGAACTGTTGTAAGTCGAGGATTTCCTGTATGTACGACTGGGTAGGTATAAACCAGGGGTAGGCAACCTTGGCTCTTTTATGACTCGTGGACTTCAACTCCCAGAATTCCTGAGCCAGCATGGCTCAGCTTGGAAAACTCTCCCTTTCCCCTCAGCATGGCTGGCTCAGGAATTCTGGGAGTTGAAGTCCACGAGTCATAAAACAGCCAAGGTTGCCTACCCCTGGTATAAACCTTGAGGGATTGATGCTAATTTAGATATTTGCCCCACTCTGCTCCCCTCGACAAATTGTTCTTGTGGCCACCACGTTGGGCCAAAGGCCTCATGTTTTTTATTTCCTCTGACAAGCCTGCCTCCTCTTTTCAGCTGCAAGGATGAATGTGCAAAGTTTGGTGCACCGTTTCTACGCCCTGCAGACCGAGCGAGTAGAAGCTTACCGCCTCTTGGAGGAGTAAGTGTTTGAGCAGGTTGTTTTTTCCCTAAAATCTTCAACTCAAGTAGGTAACGTTATCAGTGCTGGTAAAGAATTAGGTTTCTGCAAGAAAACAACCAAGCTCAGAGAACACCAAGGACCCCTCATAGTTATTTGTCTCAAAACGATTAAATTAAGTGATTAAAGTGATGGACTTTCCATCACTGGAGATTTTCAAGAAGAGACTGGACAGTGGTAGGGTAGGCAACCTTGGCTCTTTTATGACTCGTGGACTTCAACTCCCAGAATTCCTGAGCCGGCCTGGCTCAGCTTGGAAACCTCTCCCTGTCCCCTCAGCATGGCTGGCTCAGGAATTCTGGGAGTTGAAGTCCACAAATCATAAAAGAGCCAAGGTTGCTACCCTTGGGATAGTCATTTGTCTGGAATAGTATAGGTTCTCCTGCTTGAGCAGGAGGTTAGATTAGAAGACCTCCAAGGTCCCTTCCAATGCTGTTATTCTATGTTCTAAACAAAAAGAGTCTAGACCAGTGTTTCTCAACCTTGGCCATTTTAAGAATTCTGGGAGTTGAAGTCCACATATCTTAAAATGGTCAAGGTTGAGAAACACTGGTCTAGACAGACTGAGCTTCCTTTGCAGAACCGCGGGTCCTATCAATTGCTTTGCATGCCCAAAATGCCCTGGAAAGCTGGTGGGCTCTTCCAGTCTCCTCCTCTCCCCCCTCTCTTTTATTTGCACACCACTCGATTCAAGGGGGGCCCTGCAGGAGGCCTCCTCTCGACCTCCCCCCCTTTTCACCCCCCCCCCAGGCTCCCGGTGCCTGATGGAAACCAGATGAGCAAGGGGGCAGCACCCACCCAGCACCTGTGATCTATTTTCAGAGAAAAACTCCTTGTGGGCTGCTTGTGGGGAACCTGGTGTGGAGATAATTTACTTCTGCGGATGGGGAATCCAATCCCGGAGCCAGCAAACCCCCCACAAACAGGCTTTTGGTGTCCCAGGAGATGGGGTGATAACCCTCTCTAGGCAAAGGTGTCTCTCCGGGAGGGCAGCCATTGATAAATCAATCAAGCCTTCCGAAAACCCAGCAGGGGAGAAAATAATCCTATCCAAGGTTAACATAAGGGAGGGTCTTTGAATGAGCATCCAGCATCTTGAATGGGAGCCTATCAGTCCATGTATTTTATAGGGAGTTTTCAAGCCAAGTTTGTAAACAAAAAGGGGGGGGTACAAGCGAGGTTATCCAGTCTGACCCTCTCCCATTACCCTGCATAGAGGCTGTGACATGTGATTGCTGATGAATATAGATCTCATTGTCCCCAGAATTGGTGGGTCTTGCTGTTTTTAGAGGATTAAAAGAAGAAATAAAAAGATTGTTAGGAGCAAGATAAGTTAATAGTGCCGTGTTTTTCAGCCTTGGCAATTTTAAGAGGGCTGGCTGGGGAATTCTGGGAGTTGAAGTCCACACCTCTTAAACATTGCCAAGGTGGTTGAGAACCATTGTGATAGTGGCTTAGAAATCTTGAAGGCTACAAACTAAACAGGAGTTCCCAAATGTTGAAAATGAAGGTTTCCATAGAAGAAAAGAGAGAGGAGTTGGTTAGCTCCAGTTAACCAGGCTCCAGCTGGAGCTCAGCGCTGATCCTGGTGCTTCTGCTGAGCCCTGAAGAAGCACCAATCAGCTGGAGCTCGGCGCTGACCCTGGCGCTTCTGCTGAGCCCAGAAGAAGCGCTGATCAGCTGGAATGTTGCAGCATCTCCAGGGTCTTGTGATTTACATTCAGATGCTTGGCAACTGATTCATATTTATGACGGTCAGTGTCACAGGGTCATGTGAAGTGACCAGAACCTGCTGCAACCACCCAGCAGACAGAGGGGGGGGAATAAAAACCAAACACCCCCACTCCACCCCCGCTGCTAATCCTCAACAGAAATGCTCACAACAATGAAAACTTTGGACAGGAGGAAGAGCGCCGCTGGGTGGGCAGGCAGGTGTCTTGCTCGGCTGTTGCTTGGGGGGCACTTTTTCAGTGCCATTGTAACTTCGAACAGTCACTAAGTGAACTGTTGTAAGTCGAGGACTTACAAGTTTTTGACACCTTGCTAGGCGACTGGTGGTACTCGGATATTGCCATATCCTAAAAGTGATACAATAGGTGAAAAGGTTGAAAAGCCCTGCTCTAGGTGATGCAGGGGAGATTTTTCAGAGGAGAAATGAATATGTTTTGCTTCCAAGAATTTTGGTTGTTTGGAAAATGGATCATTTGCCATTGTGTGTGTGGGGGGGCTTGTAGCTCACGAGTTCAAGTGGCTGACTTTAAAATTCAATTTTTTTCATCGGCTTCCCTCAGATCTTTGCATGTTGCCAGTAGGAAAATCTCTTTCTCAATTCTCTGTTAATGTCCCCCTCCCCAAAACAGGGGTCACCAGGCATATCTCCGAAGCAGCCCTGATTACGACTTCCTCCGCTATCGCCAGCTGGTGCATGAGATCACCGTGGCATTCAACGGCATTTCCCAGGAGATCTTACAGATCAAGAACAATCTGGAGGGACCTCTCGGCCGGAGAGACCTTGCAGAGCACCTGGGACAGATTCAGGAGAAGGAGCAGGAGAAACTCGAACTGGTGAGCAGGCTTCCTTGTGACCCCATCCTGCCGAGCTCAGTGAGTTTTAAGACCCATTTCCTTGATCCTGTTTTTTCGTAACAGAACCCATGCTGAGAGTCTTGGAGAAACCCCTACTTAGAAATCTAATCTTTGTAAGGCCACACTTGGAATACGGCATCCAGTTTTGGTCACCACGATGTAGAAAAGATATTGAGACTCCAGAAAGAGCGCAGAGAAGAGCAACAAAGATGATCAAGGGACTGGAGGCTAAAAGATATAAGGAATGGTTGCTGGAATTGGGAATGTCTAGTTTAACAAAGAGAAGGATGAGGGTTGACATGATAGCAGTGTTCCACTATCTCAGGGGCTGCCCCAAAGAAGAGGGAGTCAAGCTATTCTCCAAGGCACCTGAAGGCAGGACAAGAAGCAACGGATGGAACCTAATCAAGGAGAGAAGCAACCTAGAACTAAGGAGAAACTTCCTGACAGTGAGAACAATTAACCAGTGGAACAACCTGCCTCCAGAAGCAGTGAATGTTCCAACACTGGAAGTCTTTAAGAAGAGATTGGACAGCCATTTCTCTGAAATGGTATAGGCCAGGGTTTCCTGCCTGAGCAGGGGGTTGGACTAGCTGACCTCCAAGATCCCTTCCAACTTTATTATTATTATTATTATTATTATTATTATTATTATTATGTAGGGTTGCCAGTTAGGTGGAGATTTATTATCTGGATTTCAGCCTGAATGGCCGTGCTCCAACTGGACATTATATGATTTGTATAGCAACATGTTCATTAAAATATTTGTTTTTATTATTTTTATTATTTTATTTCATTTTTATTTTTTATATTACTTTATTTTATTATTTTTATTATATTATTATTTATTTTATTTTATTATTATTTTATTATATATATTTTTATCCTCCTTTTATTATTTTTAGAAATAACCCAAAGTGGCCAACATCCTTAATACTCTTTCCTCATCTTATTTTCCTCGGAACAACAACCCTGTGAGGTAGGTTGGGCTGAGATGGCCCAAAGTCCCCAAGCCAGTTTTCATATCTAAGGCAGGACTAGAACTCCCAGTCTCCTAGTGATTGGGCCAATGTCACTCAGCCAGCTTTTGATTGGGCCAGTGTCACTCAGCCAGCTTTTGTTTAGGTGGGACTAGAACTCAATGTTTCCTGATTTCTAGCCTAGAGCCACAACCACTAGACAAGACCAAACTGGCTGAAATGCATAATATAACACTATACTATGATAGTGTAATACTGGCTATAATGCCACACATATAGCAGTATCAGAGGAGATGGATGTGACTAAATAAGCAAATAACCTAGTTGCTGTTGCTAGGCTGAGCTACTTCATATCTGGTTAGGTCCAGGATGGGAGACCGCTAGGAATTCCTGGAGCAATAGATATGGTAATGGGGCCTTGCTGGAGGTGGCTGAAAGTGTAAAAAGATATCATCTCCGTCACATCTGTCTCTTCGCTCTTGTAGGCGTGGTTTTAGCATAGTTTTTAAATAATATTTCAGTGTTGGCTTGTTTTAATATTTTAATCATTTGTTCACTTTTTATAATTTGTAAAGCCACCCAGAATCGTGTTGTAGGGGAGATGGGCAACCTAGAAATTTAATAAATAAAATAAAATAAATAAAATGGCAAACGGCTCTCATAACAATGCCAATAAAACTACATGGATGTTTGCAATGAATTCATCTGGGGTTTTGCTCCACTCAACAGACGCTTCACCTTTATTCCTTCCTTTCTCTTTTTAGAGGGTTTTTTTTTTCTTGTTATTGGTCTGCAAATCTTGGGTGTTTCCTGGAGTTGATACAGAGGGAAATGCATAACAAGAAAAGGAGACTTAAATTTCCTTATTAGTGTGTTTTAGTGGCAGGATTTCAATCTGCATGGGGCATCTGCAAAGTTTTCATTGCACTGTTATCCCTCCGTTCCCCTTGAAAGGTACTTGGGTCCTGTTGCCCCAATTTTTATGCTCTGTTATGAGCCAGCAGTGTGCTGCAGCTGCCAAAAAGGCCAACACAGTGCTAGGCTGCATTAACAGAGGGATAGAATCAAGATCACATGAAGTATTAATACCACTCTTCAATGCCTTGGTAAGGCCACACTTGGAATACTGCATCCAGTTTTGGTCACACGATGTAAAAAAGATGTTGAGACTCTAGAAAGAGTACAGAGAAGAGCAACAAAGATGATTAGGGGACTGGAGGCTAAAACATATAAGGAACGGTTGCTAGAATTGGGTATGTCTAGTTTAACGAAGAGAAGGACAAGGGGGGGGGACATGATAGCAGTATTCCAATATCTCAGGGGCTGCCATAAAGAAGAGGGAATCAAGCTATTTTCCAAAGCACCTGAAGGCAGGACAAGAAGCAACGGGTGGAAACTAATCAAGGAGAGAAGCAACCTAGGACTAAGGAGAAACTTCCTGACAGTGAGAACAATTAATCAGTGGAACAGCCTGCCTCCAGAAGCAGTAAATGCTCCAACACTGGAAGTTTTTAAGAAGAGACTGGACAGCCATTTGTCCGAAATGGTGTAGGGTTTCCTGCCCAAGCAAGGGGTTGGACTAGATGACCTCCAAGGTCCCTTCCAACTTTACTATTACTACTGTTAGAAAGGCTCAGCCAGAAGTGGGTGATAGTAAAGGTGAGGCTGAAGAAAGGAAGAACTGAGCATTACAGCGGATCTGCTCAGTTCTAGATTAATATTTTAACCTCAAGCTGATCTCGTCCAGATGTGGGGGATTTCAGCTCCCCTCCCCCAGTTCATAGCCAGGCACACCTGAAGGACATCATATGGGGGGGGGGAATTGACTGTAGTCAGCTGTGTTCACACACACGGCGCTTAGCCAGATTAAAGAGACTCAGTTTCTCTACTTGAGTAACATGGTGTTTGTTTTGCGGTTTTACGCCTTGGTGTATTGTCCAAACCCAGTTAGTCCTTGATTTATAACCATTTGTTAATGACTGTACAAAGTTAAAATGCTGGGGAAGAAATGAATTACAAACAGTCCTCACACTTATGACCGTTGTAGCATCTAAATTCAAGTATTTATGATCGTTATGGTGTGTGTGTGTGTGTCACATGATCACCATTTGCGACCTTCCTAGTTGCTTCCAACAAGCAAAGTCAATGGAGAAAGTGGATTTACTTAACGACTGCATGATTTGCTTAACGATCATGGTGATTCGCTTAACAGTCATGGCAAAAGTGGGGGTAAAAATAATTTAATGAGTGCCTCGCTTAGTGATAATTCCTGTTCCAATTGTGGTCATAAGTCAAGGACTTGTTGTTGTTAATTGCAAAGTCGTGTCCGACCCATCGCGACCCCATGGACAACGTTCCTCCAGGTCTTCCTGTCCTCTACCATCTTCTGGAGTCCATTTAAGTTCACACCTACTGCTTCAGTGACTCCATCCAGCCATCTCATTCTCTGTCGTCCCCTTCTTCTGTTGCCCTCAATCTTTCCCAGCATTAGGCCCTTCTCCAGTGAGTTCTTCCTCAAAGACTACCTGCAGGTTATTGTTCAGGATATTGCATAAAGCCAATAATTAATTCAACAACCTTGTTAGCATCTTCCAAGAATGCATCTAATTCTGGAGGACGAGGGGGATTATCAGCTTTATATCTTTGTCCCTGTTTCTCAGGGAGGGTCTCACCTCCACTTTTTTTCTTTCCAGACAGCACAACTGCAGCTTGCTAAACAAAATCTTCAGGACCAGCCCGGAGTAGAAGCCCACAGACAGGAAGTGCAAGAATTGAAGCACAAGTGAGTCACCAAAGCTGTGGTTGTCAATACAGGCTTTCTGAAGTTTACCCTTTCAACTAAGTTTTAGCCACATTCGCTAATTGAGCACTACTGGTTACAGCAAGTTGTGTATTGTGGTGTTGTATGCTTGTAAAGGAAGGATGGACAACTTAGTTTGGACTTAAGATTGGATCGCCATTTAAATGGTGTGTTCAAGGGCCAGGCTTCAGGATGGGACAAGGCCAGAGTATGGAGGAGGGAAGGAAGGAAATGTAGTGTGTAATATGACATTGACGTCATAGTTCACACTAGGTAGTCCTAGACATAACAATTGTCCCCAAAATTCCCATGGTTAAGCAAGGCAGTTGTTAAGTGAGTTGTGCTCATTTAATAGAATAATAACAGAATAACAGAGTTGGAAGGGACCTTGGAGGTCATCTAGTCCAACCCCCAGCTTAGGCAGGAAACCCTATACCATTTCAGACAAGTGGCTGTCCAGTCTCTTCTTAGAAACTTCCAGTGTTGGAGCATTCACAACTTCTGGAGCATTCACAACTTTATGATCTTTTTGCCACAGTTAAGCCAATCGCTGCAGTTCTTAAGTGAATCATGCTGTCATTAAGTGAATCTGGCTTCCCTTGTTGACTTTGCTTGTCAAAAGCCAGCTGGGAAGGTTACAAATGGCAATCACACGATCCTGGGACAGTGCAACTGTCCTAAATACAAGCCAGTTGCCAAGTGCCTGAATTTTGATCATGTGACCAAGGGGCTGCTGCCAACGGTTGTATGAAAACGGTTCTAAGTCACTTTTTTTTCATTGCTGTTGTCACTTTGCACGATCACTAAATGAATGGTTGAAAGTCAAGAATTAACCTGAAAGGCGAAAATAAATCAAGCTTAGCTAGTTATCCAGCAGCTGCCTTGAGCTTTCCTTGAATTGGATAACCTGGATGTGTGAACACAATGCCTGCACTGTGATACATGGAGGAAGGCCTTTGATGAGATGCAGTTTGGCTTGAGGGAGAATTGGTCAACTGAGCAACGGTTTGAATTAGTGATATGGTCTCTGTGTCCCTTTTGCATGAAGACCATTTTCATGCCCCCCCATCCCCTAGACCGCCCCCCCCCCCTTCAATCTTTCCCAGGCAGAGGAACCATTCCTGCCTCTTGCACCCTTTTCATACTTGGGAGAAAGGAAACCGTTTCCCATCACTGGGACTTTCAAAGCATCCAAGCTGAATTTCCCACAATGCTTAGTGGTGCGTGGCATCGTGGGAAACCCCCTTCTCTCCAAGCACGGACACCCTTGGGAAGAGAGTCCTTATGGGAAAGCGGAGTCACAATTTTTGCCCCAAAACAGGTCCTGTCCTTTCACAAATCGGGGCAAGGGGTAAACGCGAACAAATTTGAAGCGAGGATGTGGGAATATCTTTTTTTTTAATTATTCAAAAAGGCCTCGGTAAGGGTCTTCAAAGGCCGTATTCTATCTCCCCCCCCCTTTGCTGAGCCCCCATTTTTGCAGATTGTTCCATGTTGGCTCTTTGAAGCCTAATTTCCCCCACACCGCTCCCCCCACTCCAGCCCATCCCAGCCCTGGGGTTGCCCCTCTCGTAGGCTTTCATAAACAAGGCTGGGCTGCGAGGGACGCGGGTGAGCGCGGCTAATCGGCTCCATATGGTGCTTTATTTATCGTTTCCATCCGGCTCACGCAGGCTAATTCAAACCATCGAAGCAATCAGCGAAATTCTTCAGGATTTCAAGTATGATTCGGAAGAAAGCAGTTGACAGGCTGTCCCGTGGGAGAAGGATGAAGAAAGGCTGGGGATGGAGGGGGGGGAGAGATGGAGACATAAGACATCCTCCCCCCCCCCCTGCTAAGGTTGGTCCTCGCCCGCTTGCAGCTCGCCCACCCCAGCTTCCCTCTTTCGTCATGCCGGGCCGATGGCCGCAGGTGAGATGCTACAGGAGGCACAAGGCTCGGTGCTGTTTGGCCACCTGCCCGATGAAGCCAGTTCCCAGAAAAGTTTCTTGGCACTTGGTCCCCACTGCCTTTATGGGACAAGAAGGGGCGGGGAATAGCTTGTTTATGTTCTGAAATAAAGTGAGGGTTTTTTTTTTTACCCCTTCAATAAAAAAAAAAAAGCAGACTCCTTTTTTACTAATCTCTCTTTTTTATTATCTTGAACAGACCAGATGTTTTATTGATTGGTTAGCCCCAGATGGGCATCCTTTGGGAAGGAGGGAGACGGGGAGGGGGGGGCAAAAAAGTCAAAATGGCAGCTCCAGGGTCTGTTTTTACAAACCTCATCTTTCATCGTACTACTTTTCCGTTGGAGTGAAAGCTTAAGTCTTTCTTTACAAGGGATTAAGAAATTGGGTTTGGAGGTGGGTCATTTTTAACACTGAGCATTTATTTGGATGTTCACCCTGCACCCTACAATTCTGGATTGTAGTCCTAAATCAGGGGTAGGGCATCTTGGCTCTTTTCTGACTCGTGGACTTCAACTCCCAGAATTCCTGAGCCAGCCATGCTGAGGGGACAGGGAGAAGTTTCCAAGCTGAGCCATGCTGGCTCAGGAATTCTGGGAGTTGAAGTCCACGAGTCAGAAAAGAGCCAAGGTTGCTTACCCGTGTCCTAAACTGTCATGGCTAATCCCAGATACATCCCCAGCACTGGGTTTTCCAAGTTACTGAATTACAGATACTTACTTGATTTACAACCACAAATAGGCCCAAAGTTTCTGTGGCTAATGAGACAGTAGTTAATTGAGTTTTGCCCCATTTTATAACCTTTCTGGCCACCATTGTTAAGCGAATTGCTCGTTAGTAATATGGTTGTTAAATGAATCTGGTTTCCCCATTGACTTGCTTGTCAGAAGTTTGCAAACGGTGATCACATGACACCAGGAGACCACAGCTGTCGTAGATAACATGCCGGTTGCCAAGCGTCTGAATGCTGATCACGTGACCATAGAGGGGATGCTGCAATGGTTGTGTGAAAAATGGTCATAAGTCATTTTTTTCAATGCCGTTGAAACTTCAGAAGGCCACTAAGTGGACTGTTGTAAGTCAAGGACTACCTATACAAACTCTATTGTCTGCCACAGGGCCGTGTTGGTTGAAAATGGCAGCATTTGTAAACAGTGAGGGAAATTAGGATGGCTAATTTTTTTTTTCTAAATGCCATAAAAATGAGAGACGCCATACTTCCCTTTCTGAGATGAGCTAAATGGCCTGTCCAAGGTCAGTGGCATGTTACTTTTGAATAATTGTAGAACGCAACAAATAATGAGATTGTGGTCTTTGTCCCCAACTTTTTGCCTTTAATGCTGTTGGAAACAAAGATGCTGGTTTGGCCCAATTAAAAGGAGAGGCAGGTGACATCAGTTCAAAAGATGGGTTCGGCTCTGGGTGCAAAACCTCCCAGATTCGCAGAGGTAAAAAAAAACTGTTGCTTCGGACATAAAATAGGTATTGAATACTTAATATTTTTGACAGCAGAGCACACCAACAACAAAAAAAAAACCTGTGAAATTTCACAACCAATTTTTTTCATTCTTCTTTTTAGAATTTGGAGGTTGAATATAAACCTGTTTCTTTTTTCCTGATGACACAGCTCGTTTCTTTAGCCGTTTCCGCTTTTCAATCAGCTGCCGATTCCAATTTCATAACTGAGGAATATAAGAAGAAAATGACTCTCCTGAAGCAACGGAACCTCTTTAGGGCCTGCTTAGAGGGAAAACCTGGCTGGATTACAGATTTTTATCTTGGCACTGTAAAAAAGAAAACTGGCACGGAGAGTTCTTTTCCCAGCAAAATGTCCTTCAACTAAGGGGGAACGCCTTTATATAATAATTAGAAAACTCAAACATCCAACTTGGCTGAAGCACATCGTATGTAAGAAGCTGATTTAGAGTTACTCTGGGTGAAGAGGTGTAGACTGCCCTCTGCCCAGCTTCTAGCTAGTTTGCAGAAAGGGTGTTAGTGGTGGTGATACAATCTTGGCAATGCCGCTCAAGGCACCTGGATTCCTTTGTGTGTATCCTCGGCAGGCCTGAATCCAGCAACCGGGTGGGCTCTTAAGCGAAACACCCAGTTCCACCATCCATCCAAGCTACAATTTGTCACTGGATAGGACCTGAGGAGAAAAGAGAGGGTTAAAAACTGATATGGCCAGCAAAGGCTCCACAGCACACCCTATTTCCCCCCCCTTCCCCAACTGACAAAACCCCAGCCCTATTTATTTGCACAAATATTTGTAGACCCCCCCCCCACACACATACTTCAATAAGAGAGTCGCAAGCAGTTTCTGGTTTTCCTATTTTAACCCCCTTTTGGTGGATAACTTGGACCCATCCCTCCCTCTCAGCCCAACCCACCTCACAGGGTTGTCGTGGTGGGGAAAATAATCTACGTAGTCCTTGACTTAACAATTTGTTTAGTGGCCATTCAAAGTTACAATGGCACTTACAGTCACACTTATGATTGTAGCAGCAACCCCCATGGTCACGTGATCAAAATTCGGAGGTTTGGCAATTGGTTCATATTTATGACGGTTGCAGTGTCCTGGGATCACGTGATCCCCTTTTGCGACCTCACAAGCAAAGTGGGGAAGCCAGATTCACTTAACATGAGCCGAGGTGGCGCAGCAGTTAGAGTGCAGTACTGCAGGCCACTTTAGCTGACTGTGTTCAGCAGGTTCAAATCTCACTGGCTCAAGGTTGACTCAGCCTTCCATCCTTCCGGGATAGGTAAAATGAGGACCCAGATTGTTGGGGGCAATGTAAATATATATATACATTGCTTACTGGTGTACACCGCTTAGAGAGTGCTTGCACTTAAAGCGGTATATAAGTCTCATAAATAAATAAATAAATAAATAATAAATAAACAACCATGTTACTTACTTAACAACTGTAGTGATTCACTTAACAACTACGGCGAGAAAGCTCATAAAATGAGGCAAAACTCACTTAACCTCTGTCTCGCTTAGCAAAAGAAATTTTGGGCACAGTTGTGGTTGTAAGTCGGGGACTACTTCTGCTAGGTATAGTTCACCTCCTTGAGTTGATCAAAATACATTTATTTAAAAGTGGGACAAGAATCTAATTAAAGAATTTGCAAATATCTTTTTACAAAGCTGTCTCCTGAATACCGAATCAGCTTTTTTTTTTAACCTCAATCTGTCTCATCCATAATCCCAAATTAAAAAGAAAAACCAGTTTAATTTCAGTTTAGCAAATATGTCTTCCAACTAGCTGAGTGGGTAATCACTTGGAGTCAATAAGTGGCTCTACGCCAGGGGTCTTCAAACCTGGGCAATTTAAGACTTGTGGACTTCAACTCCCAGAATTCCTCAGCCAGCTGGGTGAGGAATTCTGGGAGTTGAAGTCCACAAGTCTTAAATTGGCCAGGTTTGAAGACCCCTGCTCTACGCCCATCCTTATATAGACTGAATGATTGCCTTGCTTTTCAGTGAAAACTTAGGTGTCCTTTCTACCTGGTTCCGTGTTTTGTGGGACTTCTGCAGTGCCACCCGCCACTGATCATACATTTTGATGCTCAAATTGGCACAGGTTCCATGTTTGCGCATCCATCCAAAGAACTGCTTGAGCTCTCGGCGTAGTGTGTTGTTATGTTCTCCATTCTTGGGTTCACAAACTCCCGGTGTCCGTCCTGCAAGAGGAAGCGAAGATTGACAAGGGATATTCTTCCAGAGGAAAAAAATCCACAAAACTCTTAATCTTTGAATGCTAGAGGAGGAAGAGAGGAAGAAGAGAAGAAAAAGAAGGAAAGGAAGAAGAGGAGAATGAGGAGAGGAAGGAGAGAAGAAAAGGATGATGGGAAGAAGAGGGGAAAGGAAGAAAAGAAGGAGAAAAAAGGGAGAGGGAAAGAGGAGGAGAGGAAGCAGAGAAGGAGAAAATGAGGGGAGAGGAAGCAGAGAAGGAAGAAAAAGGGAGGAGAGGAAGAAGGAGGAGGGGAAGAAGGAGAGGAGGGGAAGGAGAGGAGAGGAAGAAGGAGTGGAGGAAGAGGGTTCTGCTGAATAAAAAAATTTAGCAAAAAAAAATTATTTAGCTCAGCTTCCTTTCCATTTCCTGCAACAACCAATCAGATGCCGCTAAGATGCCTACATAAAAGTTATAAACCAGTTTATCAACCTACCCATATTCTCTGCCCAGCAGTACTGTAACTAATTTGCAGAAAACTACTGTTATCCAGCAAAAATAGCACAGCTATTAGAAGTAAATTTACATGCTAAGCTATACACATTTAATAAATAACGAAGTAGAACCTATAAGAGCAGCCCAGCTGGATCTAAACACCCAGTGTTACAGCTGCTTCCAGATGCTTACACAGGTGCCTTTGAAAGTTGCCAGGCATTTAACCAGCATATGACCTGCTGTCTTCTTTTGGCTACAGACCAGCTACTGGTATTTAGTTGCCAGCTCCCTCCAATTATTACAATCTGCAGAAGGGACCACAGATAGGGTCAAGGTGATTACACAATTAAGTGTTCTTTATTTGTGTGGGACATATTACATCCACGTAATGCAGTGTTTCTCAACCTTGGCAACTTTTAAGATGTGTGGACTTCAACTCCAGAATTCCCCAGCCAGCCATGCTGGCTGGGAAATTCTGAGAATTGATGTCCACACATCTTAAAAGTTGTTAAGGTTGAGAAACACTGGTCTAGTGCCAGGGGTAGACCACCTTGGCTCTTTTATGACTCGTGGACTTCAACTCCCAGAATTCCTGAGCCAGCCATGCTGAGGGGAAAGGGAGAGGTTTCCAAGCTGAGCCATGCTGGCTGAGGAATTCTGGGAGTTGAAGTCCACGAGTCATAAAAGAGCCAAGGTGGCCTACCCCTGGTCTAGTGTGTGGTATGTTGAAATCACTGTTTGCAAACCATCTCCCTTCCCAAGATGAAGCAAAGTATAACTGTATCAAAATAAAACTTAGCAAAGAATTTTACGGGCCACCTTAGAAGCTCAGCTATCTTTTTTCACAAGGAGAAATCCACCTGTGCTTTGCCTATAATATATCATTCCCCTTTTTTTAAAAAAAAAAAATTTAGATTGCATGCTTTCATTTACCACTCCAACATCCTCTTGAAATCTTCTCAATTATTTTTTAGCTGACACAATTGATCCTCAACCCATCCTTAGTCACTTAGTCAACCAGACAGAGATAAATCTGAGGAACATGAGGAATTACCATATTTTCCGGCATATAAGATGACTTTCTAAACCAGTGTTTCTCAACCTTGACAATTTTAAGGCATGTGGACTTCAACTCCCAGAATTCCACAGCCAGCATTGCTGGCTGTGGAATTCTGGGAGTTGAAGTCCACATGCCTTAAAATTGTCAAGGTTGAGATACACTGTATAAACCATGAAAATCTTCTCAAAAGTTTGGGGTCGTCTTATACGCCAAGTCGTCTTATACGCCGGAAAATACGGTAAGTATATGTTCTCTTCAGGGAAAACTCGCCGATCCTCCCTCGCTCGCTCCTTCCTTCCTGCCCTCCCCACTGTCAGGTATCCTAAAAGCCCGGAGGAGAGGAGCTGAATGTTATGTGTGAAGGAGGCTTGGGAAGAATGGATTAGATAGGGCAGCATTTGAGGTCCAAGTGTTTGTGGACTTCTCAGCTGGCTTTGGAACAAGAAACCCAGGTGCAGGGCAAGACCGCAAGACCCAGATTTATTCCGAGTCTCTTGGCTTGGAAGCCCAAATCTACTTCTGACACAGAATCAGATTCTCAGAACGTCTACTCAGATTTCTGGGAAGAGGAACGTGACCAGAAGCTCTGAGCTTCAAGCTGGAAAGCTGCCCAAGGTGGTCACCAAGAGAAAACCCAGAAAGCAAGCATCTGGCAAAGGAACAGGAGTTCCACTTAGGGGGTTTTTGCTGCTCCCCATTGTGACCAGGCCACAAGCCAGCCAAACAGAATAACAGAGTTGGAAGGGACTTTGGAGGTCTTCTAGTCTAGCCCCTTACTCAAGTAGGAGCCCCTATATCATTTCAGACAAATGGCTGCCCAATCTCTTCTTAAAAACCTCCAGTGATGGAGCACCCACAACTTCTGAAAGCAAGCCATTCATTCCACTGATTAATTGTTCCTGTCAGGAAATCTCTTCTTAGTTCTAGGCCAGGGGTAGGCAACCTTGGCTCTTTTATGACTCGTGGACTTCAACTCCCAGAATTCCTGAGCCAGCATGGCTCAGCTTGGAAACTCTCCCTTTCCCCTCAGCATGGCTGGCTGAGGAATTCTGGGAGTTGAAGTCCACGAGTCATAAAAGAGCCAAGGTTGCCTACCCCTGGCACTAGCACATTCCTATGCACTCTGCTTCGTTTCAATAAATGAGCAAACTGAGATCAACTGTAGTATTAGGTCAGGGGTAGTCAACCTTGGCTCTTTTATGACTCGTGGACTTCAACTCCCAGAATTCCTGAGCCAGCATGGCTCAGCTTGGAAACCTCTCCCTTTCCCCTCAGCATGGCTGGCTCAGGAATTCTGGGAGTTGAAGTCCACGAGTCATAAAAGAGCCAAGGTTGCCTACCTCTGGTCTAGGATCTTCTTAAAAACATCCAGTGATGGAGCACCCACAACTTCTGAAAGCAAGCCATTCATTCCACTGATTAATTGTTCCTGTCAGGAAATCTCTTCTTAGTTCTAGGCCAGGGGTAGGCAACCTTGGCTCTTTTATGACTCGTCGACTTCAACTCCCAGAATTCCTGAGCCAGCATGGCTCAGCTTGGAAACTCTCCCTTTCCCCTCAGTATGGCTGGCTCAGGAATTCTGGGAGTTGAAGTCCACGAGCCATAAAAGAGCCACGGTTGCCTACCCCTGTAAATCTAGGCTGCTTAGAAAACCCCAGCCCCCTTGCCAAAGGTAAGGATGGAAAATAGCTCCTACTCACCATTCCGAGGGGTGGAGGCTGCTGTTGGGTTACTCCAATCACTCCAAATACCAGCTTTCTTTGAGCCGTAGATACCGACCGGATTGCAGCGGACCTGGACAAAATACACCGTCCCGGGTCTTAAGCCTGCCAGCCGACACGAAGTCTGGTTGCTAACATTGTCGACAACCTATCAAGAGAAAGGGAGATTTAGTTTTCAAGAGAGACCTGGTTCTTTCGTCCATCGAAATGGATGTAGTTGGATGTAGTTGTATAGTTGTATAGAAGTGGAAAATTCTCATGGTTAGGGGGAAAAAACGATAGAGGCTATTTTTTTTCAACAGCAACAACAAAAAAGACTAGAAACCTTCTACATATTTTTTGTTAAAAGGAGAAAAGGCTGAACGGATGATTTATGGATTTGGGGGCTACAAAAAGTGTTAAAAGGGAAAAGGAAGTACAACGTAAGAGAGGGAAAAAAAGGAAACGATAAGATAGTTACTGGATAAAAATGAGGGTGGAAGTTCTAATATTCTACTACTTTTTTCTGTTTCTTTCCTCTTTCTTAATTATTTCTTATTTTAAGAAAATATTTTTCCTTAAGAAAATATCTTGTTTTTTCTTATCTTTCCTTTAATATTTTGATACTTTTATTGTATAAGTGATTAATTAATTAAATTATAAATGGGAAACTTTTCACTGAGGCAGAAGAGAGCATGGTCTCTCATACCAGGACCATAATATAAATATAGACACTCAGGTGTTTAAAAGATTGTACCAGACGTTTTGAGAATTTAGGGCTTCTACAAACACCAAACGACTTTTATGATTCTTAATCTTTTTGCATATAAGGTGCATTGGATCCAAAGGGAGGGGAAAACTTATATCAGGGGAAAGCCGTCATAACCTGGTTTGCAAAGGGGGCCTGTTTTTCTGGAAGATAGACATCAATATGGACATAACTAAAAACCATAAAGAGTCCAGCTATAAAAAGGGATGGAAGAAATATAAAAGATGAAAGAAAGAATACAAAGAACATAACTAAGAGAGATTTTGCAGTGTTTCTCTACCTTGTCAACTTTAAAACGTGTGGACTTCAACTCCCAGAATTCCCCAGCTTAGCATGGCTGACTGAGAATTCTGGGAGTTGAGAACCACACATCTTAAAAACTGCCAAGGTTGAGAAAAACTGCACTAAGACAGGGTTTGTTTTAGCCAGCTTTGACAAACCATAATGGAGAGTTTGTACAATATACTAAGCCCAAGTCAAACACAGGTAGGCCTCAAGTTACAACCAGTTGCTTAGCAACTGTTTGAAGTTACCACAGATCCTGGAAAAACTACTTATGATCCAGATTTGAAGTTCCAATATCCAGGCCCTCTTCAGCGGTCACATGACTGCATTTCAGGTACCTGCATTCATGGCCATTTGCACTGGTCTGCAATCATGTTATCATGATTTACAATGTTTTTGTCAAAAACTGGCATTTCCTTCCAGGTTTTGGTACAAGCTGTCCATAATGAACTATTGGTTCACTTAATGACCACTTTAAAACTGCAGCAAAAAAATATTGTAAAATTGGCTTACAACTACAATTGTGGGCTCACTTTTGGTCATAAATCAAGGATTACCCGGATTATGATTTAATGGAAAGAATACACTTAGTCTACCTGGCTTGACCTAATGTACAGTATATTCTGGGACTTGAAAATTGCCAGTTTTTAAAAACGATGGAAAACTGGTTTCCAAAGCTTACTTATTGCCCCTAAAAGTAATTTACCAAAAGGCATACAATTTTAGAGCGGTTACTGAATTTGATGGGGATTTGATCTAAATTTCAGAGCCCACTTGGACTGCTTCACTGGCTTTTTAGAGGTTAGAAAACCTTTTGAAGAATTTTTGATCCCTCATGGCTACAGTATTGCGATCTGTTTGGCTGAAAATCTTTTTCACTTTTAATGTCTTTCTCCTTCCAATTTTGAAGCAGATCCCAGACCTTTGTTTTTCTAATTATCCCCTTGGGTCAGCATGTTTGGCTCATAAACAATTTTTAAAAATTCTGGTTTTTATAGGTTTTTTTTTTTACAAAACTAAATTTTATTTTTGTTTATTCCCTTGTGAGGCTGACATTTCATCAGAAATTCCTCTCTCCTTGTTATCTTCTCAATTTTCACAGACTTTGGGATACCCTTCCTCAATTTTAATCTGAGTGCAAGTGAATTTGTCACATCTGTTCAGGATTGGCAATAATTTTCCTTTCCAGACCCCCTCCCCTTTTCCTTAATCTTTAGGCCAAATTGCTATACAGCTGGGGAACATAGAAACGTTAACGAAAGGTCTGGTGGAAGATTAGAAGCCAATATATGACTTTATCCACTCTCACTGGAGCTTTTTTTTAAATTGTAAAACAGTTTACTGTTTTCAAAAGCAGTTTATGCATTAATCCCAGTTCTACATTTTTCTTGTAATTGTTTCCATTGTATGTTTCCAATTAGCTCTCTTTCCGTAATGTGCTTTTATTTTATTTTTTTCTGACTATTCGTTTATTACATTTGTATCCTAGCTCAAGAATTTAGATAATTGACAGTACAGAACAAGATAAATAATATACTGTAATCAATAAATGCATGTCCTGTATCTCCTAAGTGCCAAAAAATAAATACTTGTGTAAAAAAATCCCAGATCAATAACCCAAACCTGGCTCCTTTAACAGTCGTTATTTTTCCAATCTCTAGTAAAACAAAATTGTTTTACCAGTATTTTAAAAATAGAAACAAGCTCGTATGTATCCTGACTTACAGCCTAAATGTTGGAGATGTGGATTTTTGGATGCTACTTATTATCATATTTGGTGGTCATGTAAAAATATAAAAGCTTTTTGGATTAAGATATGGTGGAATATCCAAAGAATTTTTAGAAGAAGGGTAAAATTTACCCCACAATTGTATTGTTTCTGATTGTGATACTAAAGAGACTACACTGATGTTAAATTTAATCACAGCGGCAAAGTTGTTAGTAGGGCAATGTTGGAAGAAGGAATCTTTGCCTACCTTGCAAGAGTGGTTTTTTAAAGTTTCTTATTTGGCGGAAATGGCAAAGGTTTCGGCTTTTTTGAAAGATCAATCACAAGAGAAGTATTTTTTGGTATGGAAAAAATGGATAGACTTTATACAATATAAGTTGGATATAAAAAAATATTATTTAGCTTTTCAATAACTTATATTTAAAATTTAAGATATTTCATAGACTTTATAGATTTTTTAGACTTTTTTTTCTTTTTTTTTCTTTCTTTCTCTTCTTTTCTTTTTCTTTCTTTCTATTTTCTTGTATTTTCTTGTATTTTTGTCTTTTTATACATATATTATTGTTAACTATTTTATAACTTGTTTAATTAATGTACTTAGACTTGTTTATGGTTTATATCTGTTTTAAGACTTTTTGAAATTTTTTTTAATTAAGCCTGTATTCAGCTCTGGGAAGGTTGGGGGAGGGTAGGGGAGGGTTGGGGGGGTTCGGGGAAGGGATTTGTATTGTTTTGTAAAATCTAAAAATTTTCAATTAAAAAAAAAAATAGAAACAAGCAATCAATTCCTTTACAGGATGGGACTTTAAAGCAAGGAAGACTATATTGGACAGGCAGATTTTATTCACAAAGATGACTTACAACTTCTGACACATGTAAAAAAGAAATGGGACCTCAATCAGTCATTCTTCATCTTTATTTTTTTGATATCCACCCCCAGACACTCTTATCAAGTGCCTTATCTCCCAAATCCAATTCCTGTTTTTTGCTGTGATTTAAGGAATTTGGGTCCCTTCTCTTAAGGAGGTGGTGGCAAACCTATTGTCAACGCTGCAAATATTGTATATTCTTGCTTTTGACAATATGCAGAATTGTCTGGTAAATATGGGGTTAATAAAGAGCAGAAGGGGCGTTGGGGGTAAAGCTCGGGAAAGAAAGAGGAAGAAAACATTTGACCTTCACACTAATTGGATAGTGTGAGATATGACGGCTAATTTAGGGAGGGAACATGCTGATAATTTAACTGCTCAGAGGAAGAGAACTTAGATCCTAGCATCCCTCCGTTGAGCCTGTGCCGACATTTTGTAACAATAAAAGATTTTTAGGAAAATAAATGCCTGGAAGTTCTTTGGAATGTTTCATTAGCCGGAACCACAACACCTATGGCACTGGTGCCAGAGGCGGCACTCGGAGCCCTCTCTGTGGGCACATGTGCCATTGCCCTAGCCTTGCCTTTCCCCCCGACCCCCTCACCAGCAGCCCCCCTGGAGGAGAGTCGCCCCCAAGCGTGGCCCACGCGGAGCAGCGCAGCCAAGGACATGGCAGCCAGGCAGCGTAGACAAGACTCTGCCCTCATGCCCCATCGCGCACAGTTGATGCTGCAGGGTGCGGGGAGAGGGCGTGGCTGCCATGGCGCTGCTGGGCTGCCTGGGTGATCTGCGGTGGGCCCTGGAGGCGGTGAGTGGCCCTGCGGGCAGGCAGGGTGGGGCAGTGCAGGGGGTGGAATGGGGGCGGGGCCAGGTTTTGGGCACTTGGTCTCTAAAAGGTTCGCCATCACTGATCTAGAGGGACCGAGAAGAAGGGCCTTCTCCATGGTGGCTCCCCTCCCTGTGGAATATCATCCCTGTGGCTCTAATTGGAGGAGTTCCTGTACTAACGTGATCGCCTGTAAGTCTCAAAGCGCTCAATTTTGGAGTATGTGTCCCTGTGGATGCAGCCCCACCAGGCTGCAGTTCCTGATTACTCGGGCTAATGATTGTCCTGGTGCAGAATAAATTTCCCACCCTCTTCAGGAGACTCACCTTCCATTCTGAACTGTCCTCAACTCGGTACTGGATCTGATACTTGGCTTGGAAGAGAAAATCCTTCAGGGCGGGAGGCGCACTCCACCTCACACTGAGCTGGTCCTCCAGGTCTCCCACGCGGCTCACGTGGACATCCGAGGGTGGATCGGTTGTGACTGTCGAACGAACAGGGACAAGTGGGGACAAGTCAATACTTAAAATCAAAATTAAGCGTCATGGTTCCGACAGATGAAACTCTTCAAAAGAACTTCGAGGCATTGTTTAGCTTAAAGAATGTTTTATTAGAGTAGCATAATATCGGCACTACATAATTGAAGCCAAAAATTGAATTCCCCTCCCCTGGGCACGTAGTATCAAAGTACAACTCCCTCCTCTAATTAACAGTCATAAATCACATTTCCCAATTAGCTTGAAGCACTCCAGCTCTCCAGACCGCCAATTCTTCAGTTCTGTGCTCAATAACCTTGATTCTCACGCTAAGTTTAGTGTTGTTATGTCTAACTGGACTCTCATTCACATCCCCCCCTCCCAGCATCATCTAACTCAGTGGTGGCAATGGTTGAAAGCGCCATGAATTTAGCATCTTCCTTAATGTCAGCGGTGCTTTCAGCTTTTTGTTCCCCCTTGTTCCTGTCCAGTGCAACCCAGTTTTATGGGGTTGAAATTGAAGCTCTAATCCATGCACAGAGGTTTGATTGCATGTTGTATAAGAAGAGCACGGAGAGTGGGGCAGGGTGGAGTTAAACCAGTCATCAGCCTAGAATCTTTACGTTCCTACAAATGATTTAGTATTGAACTTTCCTGGACTAGATTCTTGTGTATAGACTTGAACAATAAATGTTCTGAATTGCAGCTTAAGGTATGGTCCTGATCCTTTATGCCTGACAGATGTAAAGTCAAAAATAAATAAATCGGCCTTCCTCACCCAACATGGATGGAATACCCTCCTTTCAACAATGCAGAATCTATGTTCAGGTAATCTTGGTTTAATAACCAGTTGTTTAGTGCCTGTTTAAAGCTACAATGGACTCTCCAAAAGGTACTCACAACCCAGATTCAAAGTTCCACCAGCTGCCCACCTCCAAAGTCACGTGATCACATTTCAGATGCTCGGCAACTAGTTTCACAGCCATATGCAACTCCCTGTGATCACATAATCTTGATTTATGATGTTTTTTTGCCAGAAACTATCATCTATGTCCAGTCTGCGGCCAATAATGCCCATTGTGAACAATGAGTTCATTTAATAGCCACCACAAAAATGTTATAAAATCAGGTCAGTCGTGTGATGACCCACTTAATGACCAGCACACCTTATGGCTGTAATCTGAGGACTACCTGCATCTATCATTGTTCTGTCCCATCTCAGCCCGTCCCGTACTAGTGGCTGTCTGGTGCCAGCAAGATTTGAACTTCTGGAGGGCGGGCCCAAAGGTGCTTTTTCAAGAGGCAACTGGATTTTCTTGTTTTTAATAATAAATAATAATAATAAAGTTGGAAGGGACCTTGGAGGTCATCTAATCCAACCCCCTGCTCAGGCAGGAAACTCTATACTATTTCAGACAAATGGCTGTCCAGTCTCTTCTTAAAAACTTCCAGTGTTGGAGCATTCACCACTTCTGGAGGCAGGTTGTTCCACTGGTTAATTGTTCTCACTGTCAGGAAATTTCTCCTTAGTTCTAGGTTGCTTCTGTCCTTGGTTAGTTTCCATCCATTGCTTCTTGTCCTGCCCTTCCATTCCCCACCATCCAGTCAGAGCTGAAGAAACTTCTTGAATGAGAAGCGAAACGTCTTCAAAGAAAAACAAAGAAAGTCCAGTTGCCTCTTGAAAAAGCACCTTTGGGACAACCATGACCTGGATGACTGAGAATCTCCATAGATATTTGGGAGGGCAGGTTGAAAGGGAAATAGTTAAGAACAGCAAATGTGTGTCTCAAAGAGACCAAAATGCAGCACAGGAAAAAAAAAAAGAAAGAAAAGAAAAAGAAGAAAGATCCTAATTAAATTAGGAGCAATTCCATTCACATACAACCTATTTCCTGCTCACTGCTTCCTTCCTGAGATGTCACAGATCTGTTTCTCGGTATGTCTGAACTTTTCCTACCTCTGCAAATGTGTCGAGTATATCCCATGTGAGGTCACGACAGATGGACGTGACATTCCATGCTAAAGATTGTCATTATGGAGAGTGACCATGGGTAGCTTAAAACAGCTTTGGCAACCGAATGTAAACAATTATCACCACAATTAATTGGCCAGCTGCCAGGACCTTCTTACCGACATCCACGATATCCAGCATCACCACATCAGACACAGCCATCCCAAGTCGATTGGATGCTTCTACCCAAATTTCATAAGGTGTGAACAGGGCTAAGTCCTTGGGGATGTGGCAGGAATATGGGCCAGCAGTGTGATATTCTTGGCAGATATTGTCACGGCCATACCATCTGCAAAAAAAGTGTTCTTATTTATTAGATTTTTATCCCACTTTTATTACTTTATAACAACTTAAGGTGGCAAATATACGTAATACTCCTTCCTCTTCCTATTTGCCCCACGGCAACAACCCTGTGAGGTGGGTTAGGCTGGAATCAAGGTCACCAAGCTGACTTTCATGCCTAAGGTGAGACTAGAACTCACAGTCTCTGGTGATTGCCACCCAGCCAACATTTGTGCCTCAGGTGCAACTAGAACTCATAATCTCCTGGTTTCTAGGCAGCACCTTAAGCACTGTACCAAACTGACTTTCTTTATCCCAGAATGTTACCATGGGCAACCTCTCCAACACTCTAGCTGTAGCTAATCTGGGGGGGGGGGGAGGAAAGAGCAGACTATCTTGTAAAAACAAAAATCCAGATCTAGAAGATGAATATGCAGATAGGAGAATCCTCAGTGAGCTTCATAAGATATTACAGCAACACAGAGGGCCCTCCATGTTTAAACGCAGTCTATCTTTGAGTACCCAATGCCTAGGGGCAAACAACAGCTGAGAAGGACTGCTGATGTTTCTCTGAGGACAGAGTTGAAAGGCGGCAGATCTTAATGTAATAGCATAGATCAGGGGTCTTCAAACGTGGCCCTTTCATGACTTGTGGACTTCAACTGACAGAATTCCTCCGCCAGCGTGCCTGGCTGAGGAATTCTGGGAATTGAACTCCACAAGTCATAAAAGGGCCGTGTTTGGAGACCCCTGGCATAGATAGACTTTAGCCACCAAGAAGAACGAAAGTCCTCTAGTCTAAATCACTGCTTCTCAACCTTGGCAACTTTAAGATGCATGGACTTCAACTCCCAGAATTCCCCAGCCAGCATGGGAACCCCAATCCAGTTCTGACCAATACCAGGTCAGTAAGAATTATCTGAAATTCACCAAGATTACAAAAGTCTGTCTCATTCTGCGTCTCTTTGTTCTAAAGGGCAAATCACCAACTTACCACCCCTTCTATGCCCATCTCATCAGCCTACCTCAGCTTATATTTCAGGGTATAATTGGTATGCAGGTGTGTCTCGCCCTCCGACCCAGGTATCCATCTGCAGGTGAGGTCTTTCAAATTCTTGGACCAGCAAGAAATGTTGGTTGGCTTTTCGGGAGGCACTGAAAGATATAAATAAATCCATAGGTCTCAGGTACAGTCAGGTAGTCCTTGACTTACAACCATTCATTTAGCAACAAAGTTACGATGGCACTGAAAAAAAGTGACTTACAAGTGGTCCTCACACTTACAACCGTCAAAGCATCTCCACGGTTATGTGATCAAAATTTGGGCACTTGGCATTATTAATTCCCATTATGGGTGGTTGCAGCATCATGGAGTCATGTGATCTCCATTAGTGTACTTCCTAGCCAGCTTCTGACAAGCTGGGAGAAGCTGGATTTGCTTAACAATCTTCACTTAAGAACTGCAATGATTCATTAACAAGCATAGCAAAAAAAAGCTCACAGAATTGGGCACAACTCACTTAAACAACCGCCTTCCCTAACGATGAAAATTCTGGTCCCCATGATGGGAAGCAAAAATGCCAATAGCTATGAAATAGCAAAAGGGCATCTTTTTAAAACAGCAGTGCTGTTCTCTTTTGGCCCTGGTGAGAAATTTTAAACCATGGCTTGCAGCTGCCCTTGGCGTAACAACAAGCCTGTTCCCAGCTGACGTTTCCATCCTTCCGAAACCAAAACTTTAAAAATAGCCTGTGATGATAAAAATTTAGATTATTGATTTAGACATCTGTCATGGTTCAACGGACATGTTTTTTTTTTCTGTTCAAGAGCCAACATTCAAGAGCAGAAACCTTCTTGTACCGCTTAAAGGTTTCAGAGAGTAAAAAGCTGGAAAGACAAAAACATGCAAAAGGTTTAAATGGGCTGAGGAACCCAGAATGGGATGGAGCCCTGCAAATGGCTTGTTCTGAGTGACTATTGGATTTTTATCTTTGTAAGCCCCCAGGGTTACTAAAAGTGAATTGGGTGCAATCATTCATTCATAAATCAGTAATTGAATTATTGAATAATTCAATAATTCAATAAATCAACCAAGCTAGTTTAAATCTGTGCACATTCATAAATAAATAAATAAATCTAGTTTAAATCTGGGCACATTCGTTCGTTCATTCATTCAGAGAAAGAGAGAGAGAGAGAGAGAGAGAGAAAGAAAGAAGGAAGGAAAGAAAGAAAGAAGGAAGAAAGAAGGAAGGAAGGAAGGAAGGAAGGAAGGAAGGAAGGAAGGAAGGAAGGAGAGGAATAGATAGAAAGAAAAAAAGAGAAAGAAAGAAAGAAAGAAAGAAAGAAAGAAAGAGGGAAAGAAAGAAAAGAGGGAAAGAAAGAAAAGAAGGAAGGAAGAAAGAAAGAAAGAAAGAAAGAAAGAAAGAAAGAAAGAAAGAAAGAAAGAAAGAAAGAAAGAAGGAAAAGCAAGCAAGCTAGTTTAAACCTGGTCGAACCATTACCCACAAGTCTCGCAACAGAGTATGGCTTTAGCTCACCATCTTTCTAAAGGAAAAGTGAATTATGATTTTTTTTTCAGTCTATTTTCATTGCAGCTCCCTTTGACATTTCTACACGTAGTCCTCGACTTACAACCATTCCAAGTTTCAACAGCATTAAAATAAGTGGCTTATGACCAGTTTTCACATTTACAATTGTTGCAGCACCCCTATGGTCATGTGATCAGAATTCGGATACTCGGCAACTGGCTCGTATTTGTGACGGTTGCAGTGTTCTGGGGTCATGTGATCCCATTTTGCCACCTTCTGACAAGCAAGGTCAATGGGGAAGCCAGATTCATTTTAGAACCATGTTGCTAACTTAACAACGGCAGAGATTTATTTAACAACTGTGGCAAGACAGGTTATAACAGGGGTCTTCGAACTTGGCCCTTTTATGACTTGTGGACTTCAACTCCCAGAATTTCTCAGCCAGGCACACTGGCTGAGGAATTCTGGGAGTTGAAGTCCACAAGTCATAAAAGGGCCACGTTTGAAGACCCCTGGGTTATAAGATGGGGCAAAACTCACTTAACAACTGTCTGGCTTAGCAGCAGAATTTTTTGGCACAATTGTGGTCATAAATGTCTATAGAGATTCTCAGTCAGCCAGGTCAAGGTTGTCCCAAAGATGCTTTTTTTCCCTTGAAAAAGCACCTTTGGGATTGTGGTCATAAGTTGAGGACTACCTGTATATGGTCTGACCCAGAGAATAGGGGGTGGGGTAGGAAATCCACCCAATAAAGCCTCCAACGTACGTCCTACATAGAGACACGACCCAGCCAAGATGCTTCCGCCTTCCTTGCTGTGGCACACCAGATTATCTCCTGACTGCTGCCGTGATCCATTCATCTGGGAGAGGGTGACGCTCAGGGTGGTGGCCCCCAAGACCTTGTAGGTCTCAGCTGGGAGCTTTCGGCCATTCAGGGTCCAGTAAAGGTCCTCGGCCTTCAGGCCTGAATTGGACGTAACGGAACAGTTGGCTATGAATGAAGCACCAATGTGGAGGGTGGCGTCTTGGGGAGCTATGATGGCTGGGTCTGCAGCGAAAGGGGAAAAAAAAGATCAGATCAATCTCTGTTGTTGGACTGTTTGTTTGTTCCTGGGGAGGGAGGGGGGGTGTCCAAAAATTATCCTGAATGTGAGCTCTTATGCCACTTGGCAATCAGCAATAGTATCAGCATCCCTTTTTTTTTTTTACAACACTAATAGAAAGTAGGCATTTTATATTTTTATTATTTATTTATTTACTGGTATTCCGCCTTCATTGTTTTTTACAAATAACTCAAGGTGAACAAACCCAACACACCTTCCTCCTCTTATTTTCTCCACCACAACCCTGTGAGTTGGGTTGGGCTAAGAGAGAGGGACTGGCCCAAAGTCATCCCGCCAGCTTTCATGCCTAAGGCAGGACTAAAACTCACAGTCTCCCGGTGATTGGTCCAAAGTCACCTGGCTGGCTTTCATGGCTAAGGCAAGACTAGAACTCACAGCCTTATCCACAACACCAAATTTAATGATTAAGGACTGTGAATTAATTTATTAAATTTGTATGCAGCCTGACTCCCAATCACTCTAGCCATGCCTAGATGTAAATTTCTTTTGTTTGCTTCATAGAATACATTCTTTCCAAATACAGGTAGTCTTGAACAGAACAGAGGCACAGATAGCAAGGGAACAGGAGGGGGAAAAGTCACCCCAAAATACTGATTACATATCCAAGTTCAAGAGAAAGCACCGTTCAAACAGCTGATATGAAAAAATGGCAGTGGTCCATGGCGCTTAGTTTTTGGCAGCCAAACAACAAAGCAACTGGGTTTATGTTTCATACTAAATCTCAACTGGCTGCGATTAAAAGTAGTCTTAGATTTATGGCCACAATTGGACTAGAATTTCTATTGCTAAACAAGGTACCTATTAAATGAATCATGCCTGATTTTGCCAACCTTTTTTTGCCAGATTGTTAAGTGAATCTCTGCAGTTGCTAAGTGAAACATTCAGTCATTCACTCCAGACCAACAGAATAAGGAGAATTCTGGGAGTTGAAATCCACCCATCTTAAAGTTGCCACGATTAAGAAACACCGATCTGAGGAGTTGCTTCCCATAAAAAAGAACACATTTATCATGACACAAATGATTTTGATCCATGACCAGCTTTGGACTGACGGTACCTTGTAGGGAAATCACCTTCTAATAGAGTCTTAAAAACCTAAATAATCATATTGGTGGTTTGGAACAATGTTTCTCTACCTTGGCAACTCTGAGATGGGTGGACTTCCTTTTCCAGAATTGATAGAAGTTGCTGGGATTTTATAACAGCTGCAAGATTATTGGTGGGGCAATATTGGAAGAAAGATTCTTTGCCTACTATGGAAGAATGGATACTTAAGGTGTCCAATTTAGCAGAAATGGCAAAAATCTCTGCTTATTTGAAGGATTATTCACAAGAAAGATATATTTCAGTTTGAAGAAGATGGATAGATTATATTCAGAAGAAATATGAGACTAAAAAGTATTATCTAGCTTATGAGTAAATTTTAAATTATTATTAATAGTTTAATATGGTTGAATTTATGTTATTTTTAGTATTATGGTTTAATTATATTATTATTATTGTTTTTAATTTGTTAATATTTATCTTGAAAAGGAGTTAAAGTATATTATGGATCTGATTGTTAGTACAGTTGGGTAATGTTAGTTAGATTATGATTGTTTATTTGTAACCCTGTAATCAGCTCTGAGAAGTGGGGGAGGGAGGTGGGAGGGATTTGGGATATATATTGTATAAAATTTTTAAAACTTTTAATAAAAAAAAAGTTGCTGGGAAATTCTGAGAGTTCATGCTGCCTGTGGAATTCTGGGATTTGAAGTCCATCCATCTTAAAACTCCAAGGTTAAAAAAGAAAAACTGGTTTACTAGCCTAATATCAAGGCATCTGCAGGCAGGTGGTGAAGCAACAAAAGTCAACATAGCAGCTACAAATCAGCAGCAACTGAACCCAGCCTTCTTTTTTTGTAATCCTGGTGTAATCCTGTCCTTTATTTGCAACATATGTAAGTAGTGTTCCATGTTGTTGTTTTCATTATTTTAGGATGTTAACAATGGCCCTGTTGCCTTTTCCTTAAATCAGAGGTGTCCAACCTCGTCTACTTTAAGACCTGTGGACTTCAACTCCCAGAATTCCCTAGCCAGCCATGCTGGGAATTCTGAGTTGAAGTCCACAAGTCTCAAAGTCACCAAGATTGGTCATCTCTGCCTTAAATGATGACCAACAAAGTGCCAATAAAACAAAACAAAAACAATAAATAAATGCATCTTGTCATTTTGCCACCGAATTTGGATTTAGGATCCTTAAAAATGAGCAAGCGATGGATCTTTCCTGGGATTGAAAGAGCGGGGTTCCTTCTCCAAGCTTAATTAATGCAGGCTGTAGTTGTCAAGGTCTCCAACCTCTGTGTGATGCTGCTGTCTTTGTATAACCACCACTAGGTGTCACTCCAAACACTCTTTTTTCCTGGGGGGCAGTTCAGACATTAACATATAATTTGGGCTCCACTTCCATTATAGGATTTTGAAAGGCAGTAAGCGTTGCTGGGTGGGTTCAGTGAGTTTAGCAGAACATGGACTGATCATCAGAAAGGTCAACACTGTTGAATACAGTGCATTGTAGAATCCTATTAGTGTTTTATGGAAGTGTCTTGTAGGAACACCTGGATGAGACACAGATCCTATTTCAGAGAAGACAATCTTCAAGTTTTAGGACAGATATACTCCCTTTGAAGAGGTCATCTTTTCAAAAGTCCATTTACTTCAAGTGCACTTTAAAATTCAAGACCCAGGAGACAAATTGAAGCCAGATCCACACTAGCCTATCAGGAGGAGATGTTCTGCGTTGGAAATGTTTTCTGCGCTTTATTTTAAATTCGAGTCAACTTAGTTCCTACCTTAACCAAGCCAAAGCAATCTTCCTTCTTATTTTATTTATCTCCTACTCTGCTTTGACTCAAAAAAGCAAAGTGAGGTTTTCCTGAGGATCTCTTTTTACTTTATCCCTAATAACAACCAGCTGGTTGAGGTAGATAACCCTAAGAAATTATAAGTAGTTCAAAATTAAACAGGGAGATTCTATGGCTAAAGATGGACTTGACCCAAAACCTAGTTTTTCTCCTTGACCACCACCTCATAGAATTATGGAGCTGGAAGGGACCTCGGAGGTCTTCTAGTGTAGCCCCCTGCTCAAGGCAGGAGTCTTATGCCATCACAGTCAAATGATTGCTCAGTCTATTTTTGAAAAGTTCCAGTGAAGGAGCACCTACAACCCCAGGAGGCAAGCTATTCCTCTGATTAATTGCTCTTACTATCAGAAAATTTCTTACTTGTAGTTGTAGAAATAAATTCGTTGGAACATCCATCCATTTATCCCTCCATCCATCCTTCCATCCTTTAATCCAGGGGTCCCCAACACCCAATCCGTGGACCGGTACCGGGCCGTGGCATGCCAGCAACCGGGCCGCACAAACAAGCAAAGCCCCATCTGCGGGATGCGGGCAGCACACAAAACCACACACCTTCCAGTCTGCAGAAAAACCTCTCTCCACGGAACCGATCCCTGGTGTCCAAAAGGTTGGTGACCTCTGCTTTAATCGAAGGGAATCAGAATTCAACCCCAAACATTTGATCTCACTCAAGCAAAGAACAGGAGCTAAATTAATTGTTTGGTCTGTTAAAAGTAGCCGAGAAATGAAATCTAGTATTGATTCCATAGAGTTTTCCCACAAGGCATCTTAAGAAATGATACTAGAGGCAGGTACAAGTTGCATTTATGTTCCTATATTATTAAGTGTATCTGTGCAGCAGGGAGGCCCCATAGCGAGTTAAAAAAAAAAAAGTGAAGAGGGAATCTGCAACCGCACCCCACAATTGCTGCTGCCATTTTCACATTTTGGACACTGTCCAATTTCCTAAATCAAATCAAAATATAGAAATGCAAGAGATAATGTAGTGTAAAGAACGACCTACTAAAAATCATTTTTCAAAACACTCCCCCATCCCTCTCAGCCGAGGACAGTTTTCACAATCTTCCAAAAGACAGCACCAAGTAGGCCAGCCGAACTTCTACAACAATATTTCTCAACCTCGGCAACTTGAAGATGTGTGGATTTCAACTCCCAGAAGTTCTTCTCTGCCCCCATGGCTGGGGAATTCTAGGAAATGAAGTCCTCTTAAAGTCGTTAAGGTTGAGAAACACTGTCCTAGACAATGCCTAATGCAGGGGTAGGCAACCATGGCTCTTTTATGACTCGTGGAGTTCAACTCCCAGAATTCCTGAGCCAGCATGGCTCCGCTTGGAAACTTCTCCCTTTCCCCTCAGCATGGCTGGCTCAGAAATTCTGGGAGTTGAAGACCACGAGTCATAAAAGAGCCAAGGTTGCCTACCCCTAGTGGTTCTATTCAGCAAATGTCACAAAGCTGAGACATATTTTTATCCAGAAACTAGCTAAATTGAAAGAGAAAAACACAATTCTGTGCGCTATTCCTATTTCCTAAATTACCCACTCAGCTGCCAGTTTAGTCCCAGGCAAAAAAACAAAAGAGAATTAAGTTGTCCTCTTTCTGGCCATTGTTTCTAAAACACAATGATTTATCTCAAAACTGAACATTTTTACATACAGCTCTGGTTAATGCCCCAAACGTCTTTCAGAAAAAAGGGTTCCGTGTGGTGGAACCAACCCAAAGAATTGCTATGTAAGGAAATCCAACCTAACAATTACTATACCGAGGGGAGGTCATGTTTATGTCTGCTTTCCTATAGGGCCCCCCCAAAGACCACGAAGTTTGCCGGTTGTACGTAACGATGCAGGCCGAATTTTAGGTTTTAGCACTGGCATTCCTCCAGAGCCAAATGGACATATAGACAGGATCCCTTTACAGCAGACTCTCAAACTTCACAAACTGGGTTTTCTGAACAGGCAGCTGATTGTAATCAGCTGATGGAGTTCCAAAAAAGCCATTTCTTCCCCCCCCCCAAGGAACTGGA